AATTAGAGGTCAAAATAAAAGTTATTAAAGTTATAAGGACTAAATACAGTATTTACCCTAAATATATATAAGTATACAGGCTAGGACTAAATTATAAACTAAATAAAATCGAAAGACCGAATTAAAAGGTTCAAGATTTGATATCAGTGACCAAAATGAAAAGTTACAAAACTGTGGTGGCAGCGGGTATAGTTTACCCCTGCGAGAAATTACAAATATACCCTTCCCCCAAAACGGCGTCATTTGGGGAAGGGCTTAAAAATCCCAAAAGGCCGGCCCTTAAGGGCCAGCTTCTCATTTTCATCTTTCTTCTTCTCTCTCTATCTGAGAGAGAAGAAAAGCTCTCTCGCCTCTCTCTTCAATCCTCCAAACGGAGGTTGGCCGACCACCGGCTGATAGCCATACTCCGGCACCGACACCACCGCCGGCCACCACCCACGGTGGCCGGAATATGCAAAAAACACCCTAATCTTAAAGATCTACTTGCCACGAACCCGAATCTAGCCTCATTTTATCCTAAAAACCCTTAGATTTTCTTAAATCTAAGAAAATACCTTCGGTATTTTCGGTTCTCCGGCAAGATGAGAAGGCTCTGATGATCGCGTGTCTCTATTGGTAAGCTTCTCTCCTTTTTCTTTCCTTCTGTTTTATGGATTTTAATGGTTATTGTGTTATTTTCCTCTGACTTCTTGGTTGATGTTCGTATCTCTCTCTATTTTCTTGCTCTCTGTCGCTGTGTGTGGTTACTGGTTTGCTTGCCCTTTCTTCGTTTCTGTCTCTCCTCTTTGTTTTGCAGGATCCGGTGGCTTTTATAGCCACCACCGAGCCATGCTCGGACCGGTCTAGAGGGGGAAGTTCGGTGAGTCACCGAGCTATGTGGTGACTCACCCCATAGCCACGACATGTGGGGGGACAGCTGGCCTTCTGGAAGCTTCTGGTGAGGCAGCGGCTTCGTGGCTGTAGAGGGTTCGAGCATCTGGCAGCAGACGTGAGGCGGCTGGAATTCACTGGAATTTTGGAGCGGCGGCTGAGACGTGGCCACGTAAAAACTAGGGTTTAGAAACCCTAGCTGCATCATGTTGGACATCCTGTAGACCGTTGGATCTGAGAGATCCAACGGCTGTGATGATGAGGCGGCTAGAGATGATACAAACCCTAAATTGGGTTTAGGGTTTAGCTGGGCCAGTTGACTGATCGGGCCTCTTTGTTTGGGTTTGTAAATTAGGCCTGCGGGTCTTGGGCTTGTAATAATATATTTAATAATAATAGTAATATTTATAATAATAATAATAATTTTAATAATAATAACAAAAATGGAAAAAAATTAGTGTTTACAGGAGGATTGAGCAAGAGATGAGTTACTTTGAGGGGCTGGGTTTGGGCGAGCTTTTGCAGGTCTTCTCAATCGACGCTCAACATGCATCCCCGGCCGAAAGAAGAAGAGGTGCTCAAGGACGGAGCAGATTGAGGCTGCGGTGCTGTATCATTGAGGTTGACCGTGGAGGGAGTCTGAGCCAAGGGGCAAGAGTCCTGAATCCTGATTATGACCATACTTTCCGCAAGAGAAACAAACGGTTGGGAGAGACTCGTACTCAATGATCTGAACGTGTTCATTGATGAGAATCTTGGATATTAGCGGCTTGTTCAGATCAAGGCAAATAGCCATACGAGCGAAACGGCCACGGCAACCACTTTCGATTTGGTAGTCGATACGAATGACAAGGCCGATGCATGCACCAATTTCAATTATGAGACTTCGCTTGCAAAGGGTGATCGGTAAACCCGGGAGGCGGATCTAGGCGATAACTTTGCTAGGAAAAGGTTGAGCAGTAAAGAAGTCTGATGACCACGGTTCGATGATTATATAATGGCCAAAAATAACCCAAGGTCCATCTGCAAGAACTTTGAGATAATCATTATGGGATTGGAAAGTTACCAGGAAATAGTCGTTCTCGATGTCCATGAGTTTGATCGGTTGCGAAGGCTTCAAAAGGTTGTAAAATTTATTTCGGAGAGTGGTATAGCCAATCCGACGACCAAGGAGTTTAACCACAACTGTTAGGTCAAAACTTTTTTCAGTAATGGATTGCACTCGTTCAGAAAAATTAATGGAGATCATTCCATCAACGAAGCCTCTTCTGACATCACCCTCTAAATATTCAAGGTCTTCATCGTCAATAATTTCATCATCATCATCAGGAGAAGCAAAAGGTTTGTCGCCCATGAGTTTGTTTTTGTAAGATGTAGTAGTGGCTATTTGGGGTTCTGGCAGATCGGAGTCCATGGCTGTAGTAGTATCAACCACTAGCGGATCACCATCATCCGGAAGGTTCTTCATCTAGGCTACTAGGCTTTTTTGTTGAGCGTTCATCGGAGGGAGAGGCGGCGGCATTATCAACCGAAGGGGTTCCAGAAAATTCGGAGAGCATAGGGTTGACTATAATAATATGGATTTGTGCAAAAATTCCTTTTAAATGAATGGTAGAGGTTTTAAAGAAAATGTAAGTTATTTTATAATATTAACTTTTAAAAGGCGATCTTTTAAAAATAAATGTTAAAGCTAACCTTTTAAAAATAATGAAATTAAAAAAGAATGGCTTTGATTAAAACATATATAGTATACTTTAGAAAATAATGACAATTAAAAAGGGGTGGATGTAATGGTGGAAGATGGAAATAAATGAAATAGTTTTCTTTGAGAAGTAAATAATATTTAAAGTATCATATATAAATAAATAAATTATATAATTATTTTTATTTGATGTAATTAGTTATTTTCCTTTAAAATATATATTTTTTTCTCATTTCGTACCATAAATTATGTTTCTTAGTTTGTTATATAAATTATCATCTCCATTTTATTTTAGGGCAAAGTACACAAATGGTCCCCGACTATAGGCATTGTTTTGTTAAATCCCCTGACAATTCATATGTTCTAAACTTGTCATTTTCTGCGATCGTCTGATTTGGATGTTAATTTGTTAACTAGGATATGATAAAATCTGATCCTAGAACCGTTTAAGTTATATTTTGTGGATTGACTCTCCGTTTACATTATGTTGTCAAGTCAATGCTTGAAAGCAATGATGGTGCCAGTAGACATCGTTAAAATATGATTTTATCATATCCTAGTCAGCAGGTTAACTTCCAACTTTGACGATCATCAATTTTTTTATCCGAAGAGAACATGTTTGGAGCATATGAATTGTTGAATGATCATTTTATAACTTTTAATAGTCAAGGGACTTGACAAAAAAAATTCTTATAGTTGAGGGACCATATTTTGTAGCTTTTAATAGTCGAAACTCAATAAAATAATACCCTATAATCGAGAGGATATTTGTGTACTTTTATTTTTTATTTTAACCAAAAATAAGTTTGTTACATAAATTATTTTTTCAATTTTATTTTAACCAATATAAATAAGTAACCAATATAAATGTGTTACATGTCACATTCTTAACGAATACCAAATAAGTTTGAAATAAATGAGACGGAAATGGTAATTTAAGAAAACTAAGAAAAACTATATTTAAAGTGAAAAATGAAAAATACTTTGAGAAGAAAATTATTAATTAAGTATTTTTTGGATAATTTACATTCTAGATTATTAAATTTAATTAAAACTTTCATTTAAATCATAAAAATTTATTTTTAATTAAATTAAATTATTTCATTTTTATTATTAATAAATTAAGTCACTTGTACTAATAGCTTTAAATAATTATAGTGAAAAAAGAACCTTAGATTAATACTTTTATTTAATATGTTTTTCACATGTCATCAAATAATGTTTAAATAACAATTTAATTATTTTTTGTTAAAATTTATAAAAAATTAGTTATTTTTCTTTCAAAATTATTTGAATAAAATGTTTGAAAAAATTATAACAAAAAACTATATAAATTATCAATTAAACATTATTTTACGATGATATGCAGATTGCAGAATATATATTAAGTAAAAGTATCAATTTAATTTTTTTTGTTAGAATTATTAAACCATATTAATATAAAGGACTTGTTTTATTAATGATAAAAGTTTAATGATCTAAATGGATTAAATTAAAATTTTGTGATCAAAATAAAACTTCAAATTAAGTTTAAAGCCTAAATTCTACAAGTTGAGGGAACGAACATTCCTATTTTAAAGGAGGTGATAACTTCAAATAAGAAAATTGCAAAGAGAAATAACAAACTGCCATACTCCAACAAGTTGACGGTACATCCCATTTTAAAGGAGATGATAAATCCAAATAAGTATGCAAAGAGATTTAACTGCCATATTGCAATTATCTCTTTTGTTATCGTATACTACCAATCTAGGGCGGTAAATGAGACCATATAGATCACGAGCAATTTAAAATCGATTTGATCAAAGTTTGTTTAATATTCAAAACAAATAGATTTGATTTAAGTTTGAACTCAACTTAAATTTTTAACGAGTCGAAACGAGCTATTTTATAGTCGACTCGAAAAACTCACAAGTAACTCGAAAAAAATAATATATTATTTTTAATTAAACTATTAATAATATTAACATTTATATGTTATTTTCTTTTTAAAATAAGAATAAAAGACTTTCATGTACTTAACGTTCAAGTTTAAATTCGAGTCGAACTTTAATTTTTTATTTCTAGTAGAGCTTGATAATTTTAAGCTCACGAGATTTCGAATTAATCTTCAATTTTTTATTTCGAGTTTAAATCGAGCTTTATAATTTTAAGTTCACCAAGATTTTGAATCAAATCGAACTTAATTTTAAAATTTTCAAATTAAACTCAGTAATACACAAAATTGACAATGTTATTTTATCGCCCTTATCTAGCATTTAACGGGGAATAAAACTCCAATATTTCCCAAAGCATTGCTTAAACAAAGAGAAACACAATCTTTTCAAATAAAAAAAAAAGCAATAAATAAGGGCGTTGATAACATCAATATCCATCAACATAGGATCAGATATATACAAGCAAAAGAAAACAATTTTATCTTGCAAAAGAATTTAATCCAAATTCAACTTCATTTTTAACTACTGCCTTGGTTTCTATGCTTACCAACCTTCCCACGGCCTCGTCCACCGGCTTTTCCACCACGTCCTTTCCAACCGCCACCGCCCGATGCCCTGTTTCCGGCATGTTTTATCTTCAGATCTTCAGGTAAGGGGATTATATGATCAATACACTTCCGGAAGCTAAAATCATCAACAGTTTCATCCTCCCTGATCACAAAGAAACATTTATTTTTCCACACTGGATGATTTTGGATTTGGAAAGCTTTGATCCCTCCACCAATCTTTCTCTCAGGCTCCTGATGGCCTTTTTTAAGCAAATCCAGCAATACCATATGTTCATACTGTAACACGAATTAATCAAAATCTTTTGCGCAGAAAGCTAACAGAGAACAGAGAATAAGCTATTTTAATCAAGTACCTTGTTAAAGTTCAGTTGAGTGCCCCAGTGATGAAGCAAATAGGAAAAGTAGTTAAACATCTCCGCCGATGACCCGAACTCCTTCGGACCGAGCCGGACAGGACCCGAATCGGGCAACTCCGACTTCTTCTCAAGGCTTTCCTCGTCTACGGACCTGTCCATCTTCTTCTTTTTGGATACGTCGCCGTTTTCTTCTCTCTTACGCTTCGATTTCGAGTCACCGTTGGCATTGGGGTTTTGGGCAGATGAATCAAGGGTTTCGAGATTCATGTTTTCAGTTGATGGGTTGGTCTCGGCGGGATCCGGCGATGGCTCTTTCTCCGCCATTGAGAAAAGCTATTTCAAACCCTATAAAATTTAGTATTTCTTTGCTAGAAAAAGAGGTTTTATAGCTTCTTTCGTTGTTAAAAACCCAGTACGTGGTACAGAAAATAAATCCCCACTACGCTGTGTGGTTTCTTGATTTATTTTATTTTATTCATTTTGAATAATTTTTTTATTAAATTACTTTTTAATTATTATATAATAAAATTCTAATTTACCATCATTTCTTAATATTAGTTATGATCTTTTCTTTTAATAAATTTAAAGTGAATATAAAGTAATAAATATTTAAATACTATCAATTATTTAATAATAAATATTTATACTCCCACTTATTTAGCAATAAATATTCATACTCCTAATACAATACATGTATATCATCCAATTCCGTACATCAATTTTTTAACATACAGAGAAAATAACAAGCACACTAGGATTAGAGGTCTTCTACGATCTGAGCTTTACCCATGCTATCCACGTGTAGTAGGTCTGGTTCTGAGATTTTGATGGTCCAGTATTAATTTAAAACTTTGAGTTTCTAGTAATAAATATTAAAAATGAATTCTAAGAGTATACAAAAATAAATTATTTTATTTATAAGTTGTACTTTTTATTACATTCAACAAACTATCTAATAAATATATCAAATAAAAATATTAAGAAACTTTTTTAAACACCCAACTACTCACACAAAATAATTTCTATGAGTGTTTCTAGATGCAAAATTATTAATAATAGCGTCTATATCAATATGATCTAACATATTTTTCTCAATACATAAAATGACTAGACCATTCAATCTTTCATAAAATGACTAGACCATTCAATCTTTCTTGTTACATTGACAACCTCAAATAGGTTTTTAACAATTTTAATTTTGACAAACTTCTTTCAACATATGCAACTCTCACCAACATAGTTTTGAGAATTCAGTAGTCAATTAAAAGATTTAAATGACAATACGTAACTTTGACAAACTTGAGAATTTCAAATGTTGACATTAACTCATTTGACAAAATCATTTGCAACACTTTCAGTTCTGAAAAAAAGATCTTCTGCATAAATATTAAACAAATCACTATGAGAAAATGTAGTCTTAAAGTTTATGCAAAGATTTTGCAATTCATCATTGCCTAAATATTTTAATCTTTTGGAATCAAATAAAAGTTTACAATATTTTCAAATAGCTATAATTGCTCAAATCTGTTTTTCAAAGAAGTTATAGTCAAATCTAAAACCACAAGAAAATAATTAACTCTAAAAGATACCTTGAGTGATTGTACTTCTTCTTCATCATCATTCTCATCAAATTGTCTTCTTCTAAACACATAACGCTTTGTTGGAAGTGTTGGTTCTATATTCCTATCAGATGTAAGACTTTTGACAATACCCATGCAAGACTTGAACCATTCATTTCTATATTTTTCAAATAATAGCATTGCACTTTTCAATTCATTAATTGTAGTTCCAATGCACATAGATTTAAATTGTAATTTATTATTCACCCTATTAATAGTAAATAAAATCTCGTACCAAATCACTAAGCAAAGTAAGAATTCAAAACTTACATGAGAATTAGCTAAACTTTCTGCTTCACTTCTTGTCTTGGCATCTTCACCATTAGAAATGTACAATACCATCAAAGCTAATTTTATTTGAGGTGGTTGAAATCTAATAGCTTTAACTTTTTTATTCGAGTCTCTCATCGAGTATTAAACAAAGATTTCACTATAAAATCTTTAACATTATCAACCAAAATCTCTCTTTTTTTAATAGAACTTGCAAATAGTGTATATATGTATTGTAGAATTCTAAAAAGGGAAATAGCTTTGACACAAGAATACACCATATCCAATAGAGTGATATTAACACTATGACAAGCACATGATATATATAATGCCATTGGATTTATTTCAAGTAATCTCTTTTTAACTCCTTGGTGTTTTATTTTCATATTAGAACCATTTTCAAAACCTTGACCTTTGATATCATTAACATCAAAATCAAGTGACTTGTAAACATTTAATAATTCAGTAAAAAGCTCTAATCCACATGTATCATTCACATTTATGAACTATAAAAAACTCATCCATATTTACACATCGTACTATTAAACTCATTTGTTCTTAATGGCTCACATTTGTGGTACAATCAAGGATAATAGAAAAATATTTTACCTCTTTAATTATCCTTATCATAAAAATTCTAACACTAAGGGTCAAAAGAGAATCAACTTATTTTGAATTTGAAGACCAAGGTAGTGATAGTGAATTTCTTGACTTTGGATATGTCTAACATGATCTTGCAGTATTAAATGAAATTCAACTATCATTTCAATTAAACCTACAAAATTACCACTATTACCATAATAAATGTTTTAACTAGATCCTCGAAAAGTTAAATTATTTTTGGTAAAACATTTCACAATGGATATTATTCTTATTAAAACTTATTTCTAACGTTCATTTTCTTTTAAAATTACTTCTTGCAAATCCTTATTAATACATTTATTATTTTCTAATGTTATTCTTATTTCATTCCAAGTATTTATATTAGTCATATGCTCAACACTATGCTTATGTTGTTTAAGCCTCCCACTCAAATGCTTCCAATAATTCATTATATCATTTTCTAAAAGGCTTTTGTTATTTTGAGAAGTGAACAATTTACAACAAAAATAATATACTTTAATAAATCAACCATTTTCTATGCAACACCATAAATTGATACGGATGTTCCAATCCAATCTGACGTGTCATATTTGATGAGCCAAAATAAAATTACTAGAAAAACATAAAAAATTTCAAACCATTTAAAAACTATAAAACAATTCTAAAATAAAATGTAAGTTTAGAAATCATTCAATCATCAAAACATAATTCAAAAGTACACGTTAAATAAATGAGTTTCAAACCCTAATATAAAAATAAGATATGACCTACATGTCCCCTAATTACATAAGTATCATACTTTGCAAGCAAAGTCAAAGGAATCCTTATTACTGATGTCGATAACTACATCAAGATCAATTCCTTTTGACACAAGCAAGTATATGATAAAGCTTAAATTTTTCATGGTGATCATAAAATTTACAAGTTCCAATTATGATATGAAATTTCCTTCATTGAACTCTAAGTAAGAGTTGGGAAACTTACAATATGAAAGAATAAAAAAGAGATATATATTCAAAGGATTAAGCTAGAGAGTTTAGTGCATTCCAATAAGTGTAGAGAGAAGTATACATATAGTTTCAAACAATAGTTTAAAATTCATCTAACTACCTTCTATTCAAACATCAATATGTAGTTTCCATAACTGCATTATTAAGGTCTTACCCTAGGCTTATTGGACCTAGAAGCTTACCTAAGGGGATAACTTAGGTCCATAAGGATTTACCATAACATAAACATAGGCACCTACCTAAGGGAGCACCTTAGATCCATAAGGACTTACCCTAGCTGAAGCGTAAGAATCAACATAATGGGATGCCTTAGCTCCCTAAGGACTTACCCTAGGCTCATTGGGCATACGAGCCTACCTAAGAGGATACCTTAGGTCCATAAGGATTTACCCAAGTTGAAGCGTAGGCACATACACAAGGGTTACCTTAAGTCCATAAATATTTACCAACTTGATCAGAGTTGTACCTGTAGAGATTTTATATCATGTCCCAAATAATATACCCCAAATATATTAAAATTTTAAATAGTCAACAATAATATCAGAAATCATGAACGAAATATATTTTTGTATCAGAAAATAGACATAAGAGATCATGCTTTCATTTCAGATAATAAAGTCATACTTTTAAATCAGATAAGATAATCTTAATTTTAGTTCAGAAAAATACTCAATTGCACATAGAACACACTAAAGTGTCTGATATATTTTCTCGGAGACAATTGGAAATTACAAGAAAAAGAACACTAAACTTCTAAAAAAAATTGAATTGTTTTTGTAATATCCTATATATCAGATCAGATACTATATTGAAAAGATTTGAAAATTTAAGATTTAAATTGAATAAGTGGTAAAAGATGAGAAAAAAAATTTTGAATAGTGTTTAAATTTAATTGTATCAATAGATAAGTTAAGAGGGCATTTTGGTCTTTTAAGAGGAAAATGAAATTAAAAATAATTGGGATTTTAAATAGGAAGAAAGAGGAAAGTAAAGTATTCTACTAGCTATCATAAGGTAAATTCCCACTAGCTAGAGTTTTCTTTAAATTATGGGTTGCTTTGGTAACATTAAGTGATATATATGCATAAGGAAGGATTAGATAGGATTAAAATGAGGAGATAAGGGAAACAATGGGGATTTTATAAAATGGGTTTTGAAAGGATATGTTAATATAGGAATGTTTATAGATGTTTTATAGTAGATTTAACTTGTCATAGAGGCAAATGAGAGATTAAAAGCATTGGGTAGGATTAAAAACACATTAGAAAAAGTGGTGTGATTCTTGGAACTTAATATTCTTCGTAGATGTTAGATATTTTATGAAACAAGATGAAGGAAAATTTGTATGGATAAGTAAAGAAGAGTTAAGTAGAATTGTTGGGTGTAAATTTAAAGAAATTTGGCCCCATTTGGCTAATAATTGGGTTAAAAAGTGGAAAATCTGGGCAAGGGTATCGGTATTGATAGAATAGTACCGATACTATAGGAAAAAAGGGGATAAAATTGCTAGATAGTATCGATACTAATTCAATCAGTATCGATACGATTGAGGCAATATCGATACCATTGTAAGGGTATCTTACCAAGCAAACATCGAATCTAATATTGGTATCGATACCATAAGGGGTATCGATACCATAGTATGGTAGTACGATACCATGGTAAGGGTATCGATACCAGGCAACATCGAACCTAATATTGGTATCGATACTAGTAGGGGTATCGGTAAAATAGTATAGAAGTATCGGTACCAGGGTAGAAGTATCGATACTTTGGAGCCATAAATGTTAAAAATAGGTTGATGTTGAAATAGAAAGTTAATAATATATATATATAATCTTTTGAATATGGTTTAAGTATGATGGTTAGGAAATATACTAACATTGGGTATGGTACATGTTTTAATTGATGCTTGAATATATCGGAACCAAACTCCCAAGACAAGCAAAACTAAGGCCAAAGGAAAAGTACAGGAGTAATCAGCTTTACTTTTGGATACTTAGCAAGGAAAGTCAGGTGAGTACATTTATTGTATGAAATCTATTTAAGTACAATATGCAATAAATACAATTATAATGTTTAAATTTTAAAGTATGTTTTACAGTAGTTACTAAGTTTTATTTAATGTATGGAAAGAATTTTATGAATTAGTTTTAGAGTATGAACTGCTCTAGAATAAATGATTAAAAGAATAATGCATATGGGTGCATTATTGGCATGAAAGGATGCCTTAGCTGAAATGCATATGGGTGCATTATCGACATAAAAGAGTAATGCATATGGGTACATTATTGGCATGAAAGGATGCCTTAGCTGAAATGCATATGGGTGCATTATCGGCATAAAATAATGGATATGGGTGCATTATTGGCATGAAAGGATATCTTAGCTTAAATGCATATGGGTGCATTATTGGCATGAAAGGATGCCAAAGTTGAAATGCATATGGGTGCATTATCAACATAAAGGTATGTTATAATTACAAATGTATAATTGTGTATGATAAACAAGAATGGACATTATTAATGAAAATAAAGAATAAAGACCAATGATTATGACAATTATGAATGTAATATAGTTTAACTAAAAAGGATTAGAGAATCCTTAAAGAATATACAATTCTATGTGAATCAAATGATATGACATATTTGTATATACATAAAGGTTCCTTTACAATATTGTATCTCACTAAGTATATACTTAACGTATGTTGCTTTCACACGTAGGTAAAGCGAAGATTAATCCAGTAAGGAGTGCAGCCATCTCAGAAGATATCATCCATTAAGGTTGACTCACCAATAACATTAGGACAATAGTACTCATTTTGGAACTTTGTTTGGCATGTAATTAATTTTAACAAAATATTATGTAATATAACTTAATGATTACTACTTAGTATGATAACTTATGTGGAGTTAAGTTTTGTAACAAAAAATTTATAGTTTTCTTAAATATGTGTATAGAGTTTTAAAAAAGTGATGTGACATCTGTATTCGTATATGAAAACTTATATGGTATATGGGTTTTATATTTATTGGTATCAGAGCTACAGGTTTTATCGATTCTCAACCAAATATAATTTTATTTTAAAATAGAAAAAGGATTACATGCCATTAAGGTTGTCAATGTTACTGAGATGGTGTCAGTAGAGGGTGATTGATAACACTCCTTACTAATGGTATTGTTATTATTATGTATGTTTTATTAGATGTCAGAATCCTCAAACCCGCGAAGAGCGGGAGAACAAGAAATGCAAGAGGGAACGAGGAGTGAAAGTTTGAGGATAATAGTGCACATCCTCTTCATTTTGAAAATGCAAGTGCACCTGCACCTCAAGGGATTCTGACACCTAAGTTTGGAACTTTCATGCAAGCCCTTGATGCTATACTAACTCGGTTTCAATCTCCCCATGCTCATTCAGTACCTAGAATGTTGATCCCAAAGGAGTTGAAGAGTTTGGGAGCCCCAGAGTTCCAAGGAGATGAGGGTGAGGGTCCTATGGAGGCTGATATATGGTTAAATGATGTGATGTTAATGCTTGAAAGCCTACAATGCTCAGATTAGGAAAAGTTAGGAGCAGTTGTATCTTTTCTTAGAGGATCAACTCGAGTATGGTTGTCCAACACTACTATGTATGCACCACCGGAGCAAGTCAACTGACAATTTTTCTAGGAAGAATTAAAAAAACAAGTATGTGGGTGAACAATTCAAACGAGCAATGTTGTTGAAGTTCCTTAATTTAAAGCAAGGTGATCGAGCCGTACATGAATTTGAGGCTGAGTACAACAAGTTGAGTCGTTTTTCCACTGAAGTTGTGCCAAACGATAAGGCAAGACATGATTGGTTCATAGAGGGTTTGAGGCCAAAGCTGAAAGAGATTATGTTAGCCTTGAACTTGTCGAGTCTACAATAAGTTATAAATAGAGCCAAAGCTATTGAAAGAGCTTAGGAGGAAACATGCAAAAGATTAGGAATACCTTCCACTCCCCATCATGCTAAAAGAGGCAAATGCTCGAGTTCAAGATTCTATGAGAGAGATAGTTTTGCAACACTTTCACAGAAAAGTAGATCATCCCAGTCTTTTACTGTTAACTTGGGTAGAGCTTATGGGGAAAGGAATCAATGTCAATCATGTGGAAAATTGCACCGATGAGTATGTAGATTTATCAGTGGAGCTTGTTTTCTATATGGCGATATGAGTCACTTTGCCTGGAATAGCCCTAAGAAATATGGTGATAATTCGGCACAGTCTGAAAGATTAGTGACAACCTCAAATAGAAGTAGAAGAATGGGTAGATTCAGGGGACAAACGAATTCAATGCAGAGATAAGATACTCAGGGAGTCTCTAGAATTTATAACATTAAAACTAATAAGGATCAGGTTGACCATGAGATCATAACAAGTATTTTTCATCTTTTCGATGAACATGTATTTGTTTTAGTCGACCTTGGTTCTACACATTAACACATTAGTACAAAGTTGGTTAGAGCTAGAGGAATTCCTTTAGAGCCAATTGTGAGTGAGATGATAGCGGTAAATCCTATGGATCATAGTGCAAGAGTATCTAGAGTATATAGCAAATGCCCTATAAAGATCCAGGGGATTGTGTTTTTGGCCAACTTAATGGAATTGCCCTTCGATGAATTTGAAATTATTCTAGGCATGGATTGGTTGTCTTCACATTATAGTTGAGTCGATTGTCGTAAGAAATATTTGTTTTTAAATAATGCCGAAGGTTTAGAAATTGTAGTAATTGGCAAAATATCGAAATAACCCTTGAATGTGATATCGGCCATGACTGCGAAGAAGATGATGTCGAATGGATGTATAGCTTTTCTAGCTAATGTGATAGATACTAGAATTCCAAAAGTTATAATAAATGATATTCCCACGGTTAGAGAATTTCCAGATATATTTCCTGAGGATTTACTAGGATTGCCTCCAGATCGCGAGGTAGAATTCAGGATTGAGATTTATCCGGGTACTGAACTTGTTTCTATGGCTTCGTATAGAATGGATCCAAGTGAATTGTGAGAATTGAAAGTCCAACTGTAATAATTACTTGATAAGGGGTTTGTAAGACCTAGTGTTTCTCCTTGGGGTGCACCTGTTTTGTTTGTGAAAAATAAGGAGGGGTATATGCGATTATGTATCGCCTAATTGAATAAAGTCACAATAAAGAACTAATATCGTCTTCCTAGGATTAATGATTTTTTTGACCAATTGAAATGAGCATCGATGTTTTCTAAGATAAACTTAAGGTCGGGGTACCATCAGTTGAAAATCAAAGACGATGATATTTCAAAGACAGTTTTTTGAACTCGATATGGGCATTATGAATTTGTAGTGATGCCATTTGGTTTGACTAATGCACCAGTGGCATTCATGGACTTGATGAACCGAGTATTCCAATCTTATTTGGATCAATTCGTGGTGATATTCATAGATGATATCTTGGTATATTCCAAGTCAAGAGAAGAACATGATGTTCATCTTCGAGTAGTTCTTCAGGCGCTTCACGAGAAGAAGTTGTATGCCAAATTGTCAAAGTGCGAATTTTTGTTAGCCGAGTTTGCTTTTATTGGTCACATAGTTTCCACATAAGGCATACGAGTAGATCCAACAAATATTCAAGCTATAGTGGATTGATAATCTTCAAGGAATATTTTTGAGGTTTAGAGTTTCTTGGGACTTACTAGTTATTATAGATGGTTTGTGAAGAACATCTCAATGTTAGCTTTGCTGCTAACTAAGTTGTTACGAAAGGATGTACCTTTTGTTTGGACGGAAAAGTGCCAAGAAAGTTTTGAAGGGCTTAAGAGAATATTAACAGAGGTCTCTATACTGGTACAACCTGAGTCTGGAAAAGACTATGTTGTGTTTAGTGATGCATCTCATAATGGGATGGGGTGTGTGTTGATGCAAGATGGTAAGGTTGTGGCTTATTCTTCAAGACAGTTGAAGAATTATAAGAAAAATTATCTGACGCACGATTTGAAATTGACAGCAGTTGTGTTTGCATTGAAAATCTGGCGTCATTATTTGTATGGGGAACGATGCATATCTATACTGATCACAAGAGTTTGAAGTATTTATTGACTTAGAGAGAATTGAACTTGAGGCAAAGAAGGTATATTGAGCTTCTAAAGGATTATGATATAATTAATGATTATCATCCTGGCAAGGCGAACGTGGTAGCAGATGCGCTAAGCCGAAAGATTTTTTCATCTTTACGGGCTTTGGATGCACAAATGTCATTAAAGGAAGATGGTGCCTTAATTGCGGAGCTTACGTTAAATCCAATGTTCTTGGATCGGATTAAAGAGCTACAAAGTCAAGATGAGAAATGTTTGTTGAGAATGACACAAGTCGAAAAGAATGAGACTAAAGACTTCGAAGTAAGAGATGATGTATGTCTATATTATAGGGGAAGACTTTGCATTCTGGATAATGATGATTTGAAGAAAGATAATATTTATGAAGAACATTATAGTCCTCTGATGATGCATCCCAGAGATAATAAGTTGTATCAGGATTTAAAAAGTCGTTATTGGTGGCCTAGTATAGAAAGAGCTGTATCGGAGTTTGTGGCAAGATGTTTAACATGTCAGCAAGTGAAAGCTGAACATCAAGTACCCTCTAGATTACTTCAATCGATATCTATTCCAGAGTGGAAGTGAGAGCGAGTTACCATGGATTTTGTTTCAAGGCTACCTTTATCGCCTGGTAAAAAGGATTCCATATGGGTTATTGTAGATCGATTAACTAAGACATCTCATTTTATTCCAGTTCGGGTAGATTACTCGATGGATAAATATGTGGAGTTGTACATTAAAGAAATAGTCATAATGCATGGAGTGCCAATATCAATAGTGTCCGAACGAGACCCAAGGTTTACATCAAGATTCTAGAAGTCGTTGCATGAGACATTGGGTACTCGATTGAACTTCAGCACAATTTTTCATCCACAGACGGATGGGCAGTCAGAGCGAGTCATCCAAATACTTCAGGATATGCTAAGGGAATGTGTGATTGAATTTAAAGGATCATGGGAAAGGTCTTTGCCTTTAGCCAAAATTGTGTATAATAACAGTTACCAGTCAAGCATTAAGATGGCCCCGTATGAAGCATTATATGGGAGAAAGTGTCGTACACCATTAAATTGGTTTGAATTGAAAGATCGAGACATAATTGGGTCGGAGCTAAGTCTGAGATTTATTAGACCTTATGAAATTTTGAAAAGAGTCAGACCAGTAGCATATAAGCTAGCTTTGCCTCCGGATATAGACAAAATTCACAATGTTTTCCATGTATCGATGCTTAGAAGATATCAATATGATCCATCCCATGTTATTAATCCGAAGGAAATATAGGTCCGAATGGATTTAACTTATTAAGAAGAACCAATAAGGATCTTGGCTAGAGAAATCAAAGAATTGCGCAACAAACAAATTCCTTTAGTTAAGGTACTCTGGCAAAATCATAAAGTGGAAGAGGCCACTTGAGAAAGAGAGGAGGACATTAGAATGCAGTTTCCCTACCTTTTTACTTCAGGTATTTATCTAAATTTGAGGACGAATTTTCATAAGGGGAGAATTGTAATATCCCAAATATTATATAAGGGACTATATCGAAAAGATTTGAAAATTTAAGATTTAAATTGAATAAGTGGTAAAAGATGAGAAAAATGATTTGGAATAATGTTTAGATTAAATTGTATCAATAGATAAGTTAAGAGGACATTTTTGGTCTTTTAAGAGGAAAATGAAATTAAAAATAGATATGGATTTTAAATAGGAAGAAAGAGGAAAATAAAGTATTTTCTACACTTCTTGTTCTTCACGTGGGTGTTCTCTCATCTCTAGCATAAGGTAACTTTCCATTAGCTAGTGTTTTCTTTAAATTATGGGTTTCTTTGGTAACATTAAGTGATATATATGCATAAGGAATGATTAGATGGGATTAAAATGAGGATATAAGGGAAATAATAGGGATTTTATAAAATGAGTTTTGAAAGGATATGTTAATATAGGAATGTTTATGGATGTTTTATGGTAGATTTGACTTGTCATAGAGGCAAATGAGAGATTAGAAGCATTGGATATGATTAAAAACACATTAGAAAAAGTGGTGTGATTCTTGGAACTTAATGTTCTTGGTAGATGTTAGATGTTTTATGAAACAAGATGAAGAAAGTTTTGTATGGATAAGTAGAGAAGAGTTAAATAGCATTGTTGGGTGTAAATATAAAATAAATTGGCCCCATTTGGCTAATAATCAGGTTAAAAACTGTAAAATCTGGGTAAGGGTATCGGTACTGATAGAACAGTACCAATACTATAGGTAAAAAGGGGGATGAAATTACTAGATAATATCGATACTGATTCAATCAGTATCGATACCATTGAGACAATATCGATACCATTGTAAGGGTATCGATACCAAGAAAACATCGAATCTAATATTGGGATCGATACCATAATGGAGTATCGGTACCATAGTATAGTAATATCGATACCATGGTAAGGGTATCGATACCAGGCAACATCGAACCTAATATTGGTATCGATACTGGTAGGGGGTATCGATACCATAGTATAAAAGTATTCGTACCAGGGTAGAAGTATCGATACTTTGGAGCCAGAAATGTTAAAAATAGGTTGATGTTGAAATAGAAAGTTAATAATATATATATATATATATATATATATATATATATATATCCTTTTGAATATGGTTTAAGTATGATGGTTAGGAAATATACTAACATTGGGTATGGTACATGTTTTAATTGATGATTGAATAGATTGGAACCAAACTCCTGAGACGATCAAAACTAAGGGCAAAGGCAAAGTACTGGAGTAATCAGCTTTACTTTTTGGATACTTAGCGGGGAAAGTCAGGTGAGTACATTTATTGTATGAAATCTATTTAAGTACAATATGCCATAAATACAATTAGAATGTTTAAATTTTAAAGTATGTTTTACAGTAGTTACTAAGTTTTATTTAATGTATGGAAAGATTTTTATGAATGAGTTTTAGAGTATGAATTGCTCTAGAAAAAATGATTAAAATAATAATGCATATCGGTGCATTATTGGCATGAAAGGATGCCTTATCTGAAATGCATATGGGTGCATTATGAGCATAAAAGAATAATGTATATGGGTGCATTATTGGCATGAAAGGATGTCTTAGCTGAAATGCATATGGGTGCATTATCGGCATAAAAGAATAATGCATATGGGTGCATTATTGGCATGGTAGGATGCCTTAGCTTAAATGCATATGGGTGCATTATTGGCATAAAAGAATAATGTATATGGGTGCATTATTGGCATGAAGGGATGCCAATGTTGAAATGCATATGGGTGCATTATCAACATAAAGGTATGCTATAATTACAAATGTATAATGGTGTATGATAAACGTGAATGAATTTTATTAATGAAAATAAGGAATAAAGACCAATGACTATGACAATTACGAATGTAATATAGGTTAACTAAAAAGGATTAGACAATCCTTAAAGATTATACAATTCTATGTGAATCAAATTATATGACATACTTATATGTACGTTCCTTTATAATATTGTATCTCACTAAGTATATACTTAATATATGTTGCTTTCACGTGTAAATAAAGCGAAGATTAATCCAGTAAGGTGTGCAACCATCTCAGAAGATATCATCCACTAAGGTTGGCTCACCAGTAACATTAGGACAATAGTACTCATTTTGGAACTTTGTTTGGCATGTAATTAAATTTAACAAAATATTATGTATTATAACTTAATGATTACTACTTATTATGTTAATTTATGTGGAGTTAATTTTGCAAGAAAAATTTTAAAATTTTCTTAAATATGAGTATACAGTTTTTAAAAAGTGATGTGATATCTGTATTCGTATACGAAAACGTATACGGTATATAGGTGTTACAGATTTTAGAAATGAGATTCCTATTAAAAGTGATTTGATAGCTAACGACTCCACCAATACATTAGGAAGTTGATATATTAGGATCAATTAGGATTCATATATATTAGGAGTAATCTCATCATTTAGGACTACATGGATATTTGAGTCATTTTCATTCTAGAAGAAATTTTGGTAAATCAACCTAATAAGGATAAAATAATAATATGCAGTATTCAAGATTTCTATCCACTTATTAGGCTTTAAAGTCTAATCGAACTAAAAAGGTCTTAGTAATGTGGTATTTACCAAGTATTTAGTCAAAGATACTTTACGAATATTCATTTTTCAATACTAATTTCATTATATAGCTAAATAGATCACCTTAATAACTTAAAACTGAACATACCCCAAGGAGACGAACATGTATTCATACGATATTTTCTAGTATTATAACAATATCAAGAATGATTGGCATACTTGGGCCTGCGTTACAAAAAATTATGTTTTATCATTATTTTCATAATTTATCCAAAGACATTCACTTATTCTAAGTAATGAGAGTATTTAAGTTATTTTGAAACTTAAGGGTATTTCAATAATTTCAATCAATCAGTCATATGGAGTACTTCTAATAAATTAGTCTTTAGATATTTATTAAGAAATTAGGAAATCTAAGTATTTTGTATTTTAAAGGTTAGAAACCTATTACTAGGACTTTTCGAATAGATTAGGAATGTAACAAATGAATTAATAGTTCTATTAGGTCAAGTATGAGTTCTCAGGTTATTTCTACTATTAGGGGCAATACATGTCCTTTTTATACTTTAAGACTATTTTCATCATTTCTCATCTAAGTATTTCAGGAACTAAATCTTTTAATAAGATTAATTAGAAAAATTCAAGGTTTCTATGTTAATTATTTTATTAATTAATCTCTAAACTTGAAATTTCATACTGGTCATCTAATTTCTTATATGAATCATTCAGGTCTTAACCAATTAACTATTCTTCTATTGTAATTAGTATAAGTTTAAAATAATATATGATAAACACATAAAAAATCATATTTATTCAAGCATTAACCAATTACCAACATGTAGCGTAAAACAAGCAAAAGATAGTAAAATATTACATCGACTGTGAGTTGCATCGTTCGCCCTTTGAAACTGCCTTTGATCACTTTTGACCTCAAATTCGACATCCCTCAACATCTCAGACACATGGCAGAACTTAAACGTGATAATCAAATTGAATCTAAAGGTTAAACACTAAAAAAATCTTACCGAGATCGAATTTGGAAAATAGACTTATGACATCAAAAAACCCAAAATATGACTTTTAAGAAAAAGTCAACTCTTGGTCAACAATCAAAGTCAATTTCGATCAATGTCGATTAACGGTCGGTTAACAGTCAATCAATGATAAATGAAAGTCAACGGTTAATAGTGGCTCAGTTCAGTTCAACTCAGTTTGGCTCTACTCGGTTCGGGTCAAACTGGACCAGTTCAGTTTGGGTTAGACTATACCAATTAGTGCAATTTGAACCAGTTTAACCTAGATTCCATAAGGCTCCAGAAAATGAACAATGCCCACCCGCAAGGGGCAAAAAGTGGGGTGCGTGCAGTGGTTTCGATGGTAAGAAAATGAACCAGTTTAACCACTTACCATGTTTGTTTTGTGACGAAGAGCGGCGAAGATGTCTTTTACAAGTGACCGAAAGCTTTCAAATTCTAACTCTTCAACGAAGATGAAGGA